TCCGGAGAGGGGAGTTCGGATGGGCCTCAAAGAGTTGAGGTGGAGGTCCAGCTCATGGAACGTCTGGATGTACATGATGTTGACAGAAGAACCAGTATCAACATAGGCGCGGTGGATGATGGCCGCGTCCACCTCGCATTTCACTACGAGAGCGTCCCTGTGAGGAGAAGGGAAGTCTGGTAGATCACGGTCGGTGAACGAGATCACATCCGGCCTCGCTCTCTTGGAAGCGGGTGGGGTGTTTGTGATCTCCCCCCACATAAAGTTTGTTGTTCCATTTCTTCCTCTACGTGGTGGTGTCACCGCTTGGGTTTCCTCCGACGATCATTTGGCCCTCATGTCGGCGCCGCTGATTACACCTGTTATCCTCGGCTGAATCATCGTCGGAGATTAACCCAATGTCCTTCTTCTTGGGGGAACGGTCAGGTTCCCATTCCTCATCCCTGGATCTGCGCTCATGGTTGCGCTTCTGTCCAGCTTATGGCTTCCGGACAAACCGTGTCAAGTAGCCTCGGCTGATCAATTTCTCAATTTCCAGCTTCAGTGTATGCCATTCGTCTGTTGTATGGCCATGGAGCCTGTGAAACTTGCAGTAGGGGCCTGCCTTGTCCCCTAGCTGGATTTTGTTGATCCGCGGGTCCCGAACCACCAGCCCTTCCTGATCAGCGGCCTCCAGAATGTGGCTGACAACATCGGTTAGTGGCGTCAGGACCTCAGGTGCCACGAGCTTGGGGCCATTCCAGGGGCGCTTGTTTCTGTGACCGCCCCTGCTTCGGCTTCTGTCACCCTCCTCACGGGGCTTTTCTTCCCGCTCCTGCTTGGGCTTGTCTTGTTACTTCTACTCCTGCTTTGGGGGCTTGACAACATTTTCCTGTGCTCTTTTGCGACTGTGCACTTCCTCCGCTAAGGCATAGTTCTGCCCGCGGTGGACTGCCCATTGATAATCCCGTGGGGGATCTGTGATAAGGCTCTTCGAGAAGCCCCCAGTCCACAGGACGTCCTGCAACATGGCCAGACGAGTGTTGTCGTCGGCCCCATAGACCTTGGAGGTCTCCTCGTTCCAGCGCTCAAGGAATTTGCCCAGTGGCTCATCTCGACCTTGTTTCACCGAGAGCAGGTAGGAGAAGTGCCTTTTTGTTTTTGCCCTGGCGGCAAAGTGGGCGAGGAAGCGTGTGGCCAACTCCCTCCATGAGTCGATGGACTCGTCTCGCAGGTCGTTGAACCAGTCATATGCTCCCCCCTCTAAAGTGGAGGGAAACATCCTGCAGATGTACTCGTCGCTAGCGCCCAACATATACATGCCAGACTGGTAGCGAGAATAATGCTCCGGCGGGTCTGATTTGCCCCCATATAGTGAGATGTTGGGCCCTTTATACTTTGGGGTATAGGGGCTTGCATGATCCGGGTGGTGAAGGGGGGTAGCAGTTCTTACCCTCACCGTGACAAGCTCATTGTTGACTTGAGCCTGCAACTGCTGGACCTGGAGTGCCAGCGCTTCCAGTTGGGCGTCACGCACCATATGCTGAGGAGGTGGTGGTGGTACTGCTATGACTGCTGCAGCCCGCAACTCATTGACCTGCTGAGTCAGGAGGCGGATCTGTTCCTCCCTAGGATCCACCTGGCGTTGGCGCCATGGCTGAGACTCCACCTGCCGCCTTGGCGGTGAAAGCCTTGGCCGGCGCAAGGGCTATTGTTGTTGTTGGCGCGGTGGAGAAGCGCATTGGTGCCTTGGGGGGAAAAGGCATGTGCTCGTGGCATGAGGGGGGGGGGGGGAGAATCTGAGAGAATGATTGCCCCCTAGCCTCTCCAAAGCGGGTACACGCTTTGGAGTCCTTCTCCCAGACTGTTGCTGTTGTTGCCGCCGGGGGATGTTGAGAACTGGGGAATTCGCCCGATTAATCCCCCGGATGTTGACAGATAGGCGCTGATTCGCCATAGATCTGTCCCCCAATCTGGAGAAGATGGGACGCCTTCCCACCTCCACATAGGGATTGGGGTTGTCATCCTGTTGTTGCCCCTACAGGGAGAAGGACTGTGAGGAGTCCTCGGTTGTGACGGCGTAAACGCCCTCATCATTGTGGCAGCCGTGGTCAACACAACGTGCCGTGTATTTTGACGGCAGTGTGGGAGGTGGCGGTGGGGACTTCCTCTGTTGTGCTGCAGTGGGACAGGAAGTTCATGCATGCTCTGCTAGGGGCATAGCGCTCACAGGTGCTCCAGAATCCACCTGACGGATCAGGGGAGAGTTGATCCCCGGAGTTGCCATCTGGCGAGGGGGAGATTGATAGACCATTTGTGCTGGTCTCTCCACAACCAAAGGGGCATCGATGGTGCCCACTCTCAGAGACCGAGATCTGGAATTCGCCGGTGAGATGGGCCTATTGGCGTGAGGAGCCACAATTGTCGTCGTCTGGGATTGCAACGTGGGGAGTACATGTTGCAATCCAGAGATGATGGCGCCAACCGACGCAGAGGGATCCACCTCAGAAGATTCTGGAATTGTGGGATCACCTGAGCGGGCGACATTGCCGCTGCATCACGATTCACCGAGATTTGTTGACGGAGATCCGGAGAAGTACACTGGATCTGGCTACGCAGATCAGCAGAAGCCTCAGTGGTTTGCTTCCCCTTAGCGGCCCTCCTGGCATAAGAAGTAGCAGTAGCTTCTAGCGAGGGCTTAACTTGGGCGACGAGGACAACAACACGTCTGTTCCTCATAACTCTCTTTCAAGCCATTGTCAAGGAGGAAAACTTGTTGTAGATTTGGAAAAAGTGAGAGGAACTGACCTGATTCACAGTTCGACTCTCAACGAGAGCACCAAAAATGATGGATCACCGGACCAGGGGGTAGTCGGAATCCAAGTAAAACGAGAGAGAACTGATCAGAAAGTACAGGTAGATAATTCAGCAGAGTAACAGTATGAGAATATGAATTGCGATCCTTTTCCACAAGCTGGAAGGTGATATTTATACTAAAGAATAGACAATACTTGGTGCCTAAGTAAAAGATGCTGAACTAATAGTGAGAGGACACGTGTCCAATATATTCTAACAAACTAACAATCTAAGTCGATGGGGAGCGGCCACGTGTAAAGGTGATTGGAGAGATAGTCCAAGACAGTTGGTTGATTGGAGCTACTTCTAACAGACTGCTAACCGAATACCCGTGTGGTTATGCGTGTGCAATCTGGGACATTATCCGTTGCTGGGAGTGACGTGGCATCATCTTTGTGTGATGTTTGTCTTTGCGTATTTGTCTAAGTCCATAGTGCTTTGATCAGACCTTGATCTTACTGAGGTCAGTATTTGGAGACTCGGGCTCATCGCGGGGAAATTTACCTCCTGTCTTTGGTTCTACCTTCGAGATCGTTGACTGCTTTCTGCTTGACTCGGGTTGACCATGCGTTTGACGCCTGAAGTCGGGTTTGGTGCCGAGCTCGGTGCATTTGAGGTCGGGCTCATAACTTGTCGAGTTTGGTTGATTCCTGAGCCTGATGTTTTCCCGACCTCGGAGGTCGAGGTCGGGGTCGGTCAACTTTCTGTCCTTGGTCATTTCGTTGTTTGGCGCTTGTTCCCGACTTTGGTTGATCAGGGTCTGTTCCAGTTACGGACATAGTATTTTTATGCACTCCAGAGTGGATCCGTGATGCTTTATGTCGGCGATCAGTGGTGGACCCAGAACTTTTCTGAAGCGGGGGCACTCCCGCATAGATGGAAATAGGTCGGGTCGGGTCAAATTGGGTGTATCATTAGTCTTATTGTCAAGTGCGTTCAAATTTTTTATTTTTAACTACAAATAGATGATTCAATGACTTCAAGCAATGAACATATATGGATTATAATTCTAATTTTGAACTTATTAAGACAATTCTAAACAATATATATGGTTTTTTGAAAGAAAGATATAATTTGGATCATAAATGATTCATCTTTGCACCGTTTCTGGTTTTACATTAGAATTCTCGTTACTTTTCATACTATAAAATGATCAAGATTTCATATCTCAACTAGAATCATGTTGAATGTTACACATTGTGCCACAAAATTTGTTGGTACTTATCTGGAATATAATACTATTGTGTTAAAAATGATGTATAGATCATGTTCATGATTTCATTCTTTAATACAATTGTATTTAATAATATGATTCTATATATCTAACATTCAGTATATTATAGATAAAAAAATTCAAAGAGTCTGTTGGTTTGAAACTAATTTATCGCGAATTGACACATTTTTTCATGTATAGGCTAAAATAAACTAAATTGAAACGATAAAATAAGATAAGGACATAGGTGGTGTTTGGAACTAATTCTGATTCTGCTTCTTTTTTAAAGCAGAAGCAGAATCAGAATCAGTTTTCATAAGCTGGTCACCCTCAGCTTCTAAAAAACCTGATTCTAAGAGTAAATTAGAGCACCAGAATCACTTCTGCACTTTCACCCAAACACCCCAACTTCTGCTTCTACTTCCTGAAAGAACAGAAACAATTTTAAGAATCAGACCCAAACACCCCATAATTAAGTGTGGATAAATTGATGTGGAAAAGAGGCAAGTCGTAATATAATACGGACTAGAACCCCGTGGCTATTACCTCTTTTATATGAAAGTGGTGAATCTATGGACTAGCTACCAGTGTCTAGGCATGTCTCAGGGAGAAGCTATATTTATTTATGCTGAGTTATCACCATAAACTCAATAAAACATTGCAACAAGGAGAAAAGAATGAATCTAGAAATTTGGACCAAGTGACTAAGGTTCGAAACATGCAGCGGCCGTGTGGAGGTCACAGAATCTGAAATAAGGCTGTGTCTCCGGTGCGCACGGGAAAAAGGCTTACCATCATTGGACCGACTGAGTCACCGTGATTAACATTCTCCCAAAAATCATGTCGGATTGGGTTATGGGGGCTAGGGAGATTCCACCTTTTGGACCCAGAATTTTACAAAATTAAGGAAAAACTATGATTTAAGATGATAATTAATGTTGTCAGTAATTAACTCATTGATATATGGGAAAAAAATTTCTTCCCCTCCTCTGCGCGTTTTTCAGATTCCTTTCCTCCAACTCTTTTCCTCCCTTCGAACAACAGCGGATGTGGAGAGGCGGATAGCTGACGACGGCTGGGAACAGTGGGAGGCAGAGGTTTCCGACAGCCATAAGTGACAGAAGCATTGTTGGACGGCTAGCTTCTCCCCCATCGTCGATGAGGACGAGCTCTTCATCGTCGACTGTCGTCTCAAGGCAATCAAGTTGCACCCGCTGAACTTGAGGCTGTCTTGCTTTACTGTCCAAAGTCCAAACATTTGTGATGATGTTGTTGTTCTGTAAGTTTCCAAGCCCATCTCTTTCTACTAGCTACCTGCCTATCTACACCTCCACTAAAGCATTGGAGTTCTATTACTTAACAACTGTTGTGCTTTTGTTTTTCAATTATTTGCAGAGCACTTTGATTTAATCGACCTACCAAACTTGGTGAGTTGAACTTCAATTGCAAACTTGGTAAAAGGTATACATATTGTGCTCTTTCTGAAGCTGCATATAGTGCTTTAATTTAGATCAGTTTGTTAGCATTCTAGAGTCTTCACCTCTAATGAACCTTAATCTGGTTTTCTCTCTTGTGCTTCTGTTAATAAATTTAATATTTGTATGAACTAAATGCGCTTTGTTCATAAAGAAGTCGCTATTTGGCACTTCGTTCTCAAGACCTCACATGATTATTTCACGTATGGTTGATGCTTTAATACTTACAAGTCTACAGAATAGTGGTTTGTTTATCAATGAGTCAATTTTTTTCCATCAATGAGTTAATTACTAACAACATTAATTATCATCTTAAATCATAGTTTTTCCTTAATTTTGTAAAATTCTAAAATCACTTTCTAGATTCATTCTTTTCTCCTTGTTGCAATGTTTTATTGAGTTTATGGTGATAACTCAGCATAAATAAATATAGCTTCTCCCTGAGACATGCCTAGACACTGGTAGCTAGTCCATAGATTCACCACTTTCATATAAAAAAGGTAATAGCCACGGGGTTCTACTGTATTATATTAGGGCTTGCCTCTTTTCCACATCAATTTATCCACACTCAAGTCCTTATCTTATTTTATCGTTTCAATTTAGTTTATTTTAGTTTGCTTTGTTTTGTTGTGTCATTTTATTAGTTTCATGCTTTTTGATGTCGCCCCCCATGAAATTGTAAATAAGAGAAGACTAACTTTGCAAATCAGTGCTAATGTGCTTAGGATGCATTACAAAATCACAAATGCTCAACCAAAAATTGAACTTGCAAAACTTCCGGCCTCTACAGTCTCCCGGCCTCTACTAACTTTGCAATAATTGAACTCTTCGGCTATTCCCTTACCGGCCTCTTTCGATCCCTAATTTCCGGCCTCTACAGTCTCCCATCACGGGCTGGTTCATCGTCGCCGTGTGTGGCGGGCTGAAGAAGATGAAGACAGAGGGGTGGGGAGCGGCGGGCTGAGGAGGCCAGAGGAAGAAGGGAGGGGGAGGGTGGAGAGAGACGGGCTGGGCTGGGATGAAAAAGATAGAAGGGGGAGGAGGGGTGGGCTGAAGAAGAAGAACAACAACAAAGAAGAATAAAGAGGGATTGAGTTGGGTGTTGGGTTGTGGGGAAGAAGAAAGTAGCACAGAAAGAAAGGAAAAAGGAAATGGAAAAACATAAAAATATGCCACCTACAACGCCACGTCAGTAGGTGACCGGCTAACCGAGAATCTACCAGCTAAATTAGAAAATTGACCTTTTTTGTATAGTTCACGGACTTAATTGAGTGTTTTTTAGTTAGAGGGCTTAATTGACTTTTTAGGCACACTTCGAGGGCTAATTTGACAGTTTTCCCAAAGAAAAAAACATCAGAAAGCAACTCTACTTGAATCCAAATATATTTTGCTACAAACCCTCTTCCAAAAGAAAATAATTAGCTCGTTGATTGGGTAAGCAAACATACTCAGAAGCATCTTAACTTTATTGCTCTGTAAATTCCCAATGAAATGTCACTCTATATCCTCCGGAAGCTACAATTTACAACAGCCACATCATAAAATCAACGCACGACTCCTATCACGCACATCATTACAGAAAATTCAGATAACGAATCAGAGATAAACAGAGGCAGAAATTTTCACAAAGTTCTAAGATAAAAGACCTGAGGAGCTTTCTCTATGAACTCTTGGACATAGTTCTCGCCGAAACAGCGGTGTCCATTGTCGTAAACTTGACGAATAAAGGAGACTGGTTTGGTCTTGCTCACGGCCACCACCCGAATCCGATCCAATCCACGGCTGCAGTGTTCGGTGGCCAGCTGCACCCGCTGCAGAACCGATCGCAGCGCCGTCGATGCCATGCCGTCTATGGCTGAAGCGGTCATCCTGGATGCTGAGGACTGATGTGAATCATGATAGAGACACGTGTGCAGCTATCAAGAAGGATAGATACTATGGTTAAGTTTACTCTAGAAGGAATAGATTAGCGGTTTGATAGTTATTTTCATTTAAATAATTGTAACTGCTTTTCATAGTGGGGGGGGGGGGGGAACTTTAAATAGAATAAGGAGAGTAACGGAAGGCAGGCAGTTAGATCTTCGGATAGGGACTGGGAGGAGTGGAGGCGTGTTGTCTCTTTCCTTGGGACTGCGTACGTTGTTTTCCACGCTAGGAAAACTGTATTTGACGTTGGCTTTTACTCTATTATTGCTCTACTGTCACTGCACGGTCGTTTTCTTCCCCTGTGTACTCTATCATTGGTATCAAAGCGACGTCGATCGCTGGATGATATTGACGCGCGCGAAGATGGAAGGGCGCATGACGGAGATTGAACGGAATCAACGGGAGATGCAAGCCAGTATGGAGAGGAATCTGAGAGAGATGCAACACAATTTAACGGCGAATTTGGCAGAAAATATGGCGACGATGCAAGCCTCCATGCAAGCGACGATGCAAGCCAATTTGGCAGAATTACAGAACCGAATCTCAACGCGAACGAGGAGTCACTCACGACGATCCAGTACTTCACATCGCACCACTCATCACCAACGTTCGAGGAACGCTGATAGTTCAGGAAGTTCGGACGGTTCTTCTCCTCCATCTGCATCGCGACGTGATCGCGGACATCGCCAAGGTCACAGGTATCACCCTCCGGCAGGTCGGAAAATTGACTTACCTCTTTTTAATGGCGAGGACGCTTTTGGATGGTTAGTACGGATGAATAGATATTTTCGTCTGAACAATACTGAGGAGGAACACAAGGTAGATGTGGCAGTTGTGGCTTTGGAAGATCAAGCCTTGAGTTGGTTTCAATGGTGGGAAGGCCAAGCTCAACACCAGAACTGGGAGACTTTCACCAGAGATCTGACCAAGCGTTTTCAGCCGGAGTTGGTACAAAATCCGCTGGGACCATTGTTTAGTTTGAAACAGAAAGGAACAGTAAAAGACTACAGAGATAAATTTGAAGTAGCTATGGCTTCACAGGGGCACCTGACTGAAGAAGTACTAAGAGGGGTATTTTTAAATGGACTCAAACGTGATATAAGGGCTGAGTTAAAACTGTATTCTACCAGAACACTTGCTGAGATCATGGATACAGCTTCATTGATTGAAAACAAAAACACTGAAGCAATCATCATGAAGAGTAAAGAGGAGGGAAGGAAAAAGGGCCAGGGAAGTCCAACAATGATCAGCCGTTTGGGAGTAAATGGAAGAGTAATCCAAACACCTCTGCAGTTTCGGGTAAGGGAGCTAGTGAAGGTAAATCTGTTGAGGAGAGGATTCAACCTAATCAGAAGAGAACTGGTCCCAGATTGTCTCAAAGTGAACTGTTGGAAAGAAGTAAGAAGGGGTTGTGTTTTAAATGTGGTGAGAACTGGAATAGGGGGCATGTGTGTAAAATGAAGAACTACAAGATGATTTTAGTAGAAAATTCAGAAGTTGAGAATGAATCTGGAGAAGAGTTGGTCGATCCGGAGGAGGATAAAGATGCCCACCAGCAACTCAAAACGATGCAGTTGTCAGTTTTGAGTAAAGAAGGCATTACCTCCATGAAAACTTTCAAGGTTAGGGGAGTCCTGAAGTGGGCAGGTGGTGAAAAGGTGGTGAATATTCTTATTGATAGTGGGGCTACCCACAATTTTATAGCACAGAGTGTGATTGAGAAGTGGCAGATTCCTTTTACACCTATTCAAGGGTATAAGGTACAAATTGGGAATGGAAATTTCATTACCAATAGAGGGAAGTGTATGGGCCTGCAGTTAGAAGTGCAAGGGACTATGATTCAGCAAACCTTCTACATGTTAGAGCTTGGTGGGACTGATGTGGTTTTGGGTTTGGAGTGGTTGACTGAACTGGGCAACATGGAGGTTAACTTTCAGAAGCAGGTAATCAAGTGGAGGAAACAAGAACAGGATTATATAATCAAGGGGGAAACAGCCTTAAACAATATGGAGGTTTCAATGAAAACCATGGCTCAAATTTTACATCAAACTGGGGATGGTTTCTTATTGTACTGTGAAGGAGAAATGAATGACTCGGGACAGAAGGGAGAAGAAGGGGAATGGGGCAGAGTGGTGGCAGAATTTCCAGAAGTTTTTGCAGCTCAACTGAAGTTCCCTCCAGCCAGGGGTTGTGATCATGCTATAACTATCAAGGAAGGGGCCAACATTCCAAATTTGAGACCCTACAGGTATTCTTTTGATCAAAAGAATGAGATAGAGAGAATCATTGATGAAATGCTGAAATCTGGAATAATCAAACATAGTAACAGTCCATACAGTAGTCCTGTTCTTTTAGCTAGAAAGAAAGATGGAGGTTGGAGGTTTTGTGGAGATTATAGGGCTCTAAATAAAGTGACTGTGCCTGACAAATTTCCAATTCCAGTCATTGAAGAGCTGTTGGATGAATTGGGTGGAGCTAGGATTTTTTCTAAATTGGATTTAAAATCAGGTTATCATCAGATCAGAATGAAGGAATGCGATACCCATAAAACCGCCTTCAGGACCCATGAAGGACATTACGAGTATTTGGTAATGCCGTTTGGGTTGACGAATGCTCCCTCAACGTTTCAGGCTTTAATGAATGAAGTTTTGAGACCATTCTTAAGAAAAATTGCTTTGGTGTTTTTTGATGATATTCTAGTTTACAGCAAAACTAGGGAAGAACATAAAGAACACTTAAGGCAGATTTTGGAGGCTTTAAAAAGGAATGATTTGGTGGCTAATCAAAAGAAATGTTCCTTTGGTCAAAGGGAATTGAATTATTTAGGCCATATCATCTCTGAAAAAGGAGTAGCAGCTGACCCCACTAAAATTGAAGCTATGAAGAATTGGGCTGCTCCCAAAGATCTGAAAGGGCTGAGAGGTTTTTTGGGCCTAACTGGGTATTACAGGAGGTTTGTGAAAAATTATAGTAAAATTGCTGCCCCACTCACAGTCCTTTTGAAAAAAGATGGTTTTAAATGGAATGATTTGACCAATAAAGCTTTTGAAGACTTGAAGACTGCTATGATCTCTGTACCAGTCCTCAGGATTCCAGATTTCAATAAACTGTTTGTGGTAGAGACTGATGCCTCAGGAAAAGGGTTGGGAGCTGTTGTGATGCAGGAAGGGGGACCTATTGCATATATGAGTAAAGAGCTATCTCCTAAGCATTTAAATAAATCAGTCTATGAGAAAGAATTGATGGCCATTGTGTTTGCCGTACAAAAATGGAGACCTTACTTACTGGGAAGGAGTTTTGAAATCCACACGGATCAACGAAGCCTGAAATATTTAACTGAGCAGAAAATTATGGGGGAGGATCAACAAAAGTGGATCGCAAAGCTCATGGGGTATAATTTCATCATTAAGTATAAACCGGGATGTGAAAACAAGGCAGCAGATGCTCTTTCCAGAAGTTTCAATCTCTCTGCCTTATCCATAGTTACATGCCAGGAATGGAAGGGTTTAGAAGAGGAGTTGCAGGCTGATTCTAAATGTGGGGATATCATACAGAAGGTACTCAGTCAGCCAGATCAACACAAGGACTACAAAATGAAAGGAGGGTTGCTGTATTACAAAGGGAAGCTGATGTTACCAAAAGGATCTGGAAGGATCCTGACCATCTTGAAGGAGTACCACGACTCAGCAGTGGGGGGGCATTCAGGCTACTTCAGGACTATGAAAAGGATATCCAGTCTTTTCTTTTGGCCTGGAATGAGATCCGACATCAAGGACTACATACAAAGTTGTGACACTTGCCAGAGAAATAAATACCAGGCTCTTAAGCCTGCAGGATTATTGCAGCCTTTGCCAATTCCTGAACACATCTGGACAGATATAAGCATGGATTTTTTAGGCGGATTACCTAAATCCTATGGGAAGGATACTATATTAGTGATTGTGGATAGATGGACTAAGTTTGCCCATTTTCTGCCCTTGTCACACCCATTTGATGCTAAGGAAGTGGCTGAAGTTTTTGTCCAGGAGGTAGTCAGAATTCATGGATTTCCCAAGTCTATTGTCAGTGACAGGGATAGCATTTTTCTTAGCAATTTCTGGTCAGAGCTGTTTAAATTGGCAGGGACTCAGTTGAGGTATAGTACTGCATACCATCCCCAGAGTGATGGTCAAACTGAAGTAGTAAACAGGTGTGTGGAAACTTACTTGAGGTGTGTAACTGGAGGTAAACCGAGGCAATGGGTGAAGTGGTTACCTTGGGCTGAGTTTTGGTACAACACAAATTACCATATCTCTCTCAAGAATACTCCTTACCAAGCCTTATTTGGACAGGACCCCCCTACCATAATAAGAGGAGATGTGAGTTTAACTGCTGTAGCTGAGGTGTCTAGACTGACATCGGAGAGAAATGAGATACTGAAGGAATTAAAAGAGAACCTGGCCAGAGCTCAGAATCTGATGAAACAACAAGCGGACAAGCACAGGAGGGAAGTGGAATTGAGGGTTGGAGATCAAGTGTTCCTGAAAATACAACCCTACAAGATGAGGAGTTTGGCAAGAAGGATCAATCAGAAACTTAGCCCCAAATTTTATGGCCCTTACGAAATCATAGAAAAGCTGAACTCTGTGGCTTTCAAACTCAAGCTGCCTAGTGATTGTAGAATACATCCTGTATTCCATATTTCCTTGCTTAAGAAGATGTTGAAACCTACTGTCCATTATCAAGAACTTCCTAGTTGTCTTACAGAAGATTGTGAACTACGAGTACAACCTGTAGAGATTAGAGAAGTCAGAATGAATCCAAAAGGGAAGAGGGAACTCCTGGTACATTGGCAGGGACTTCCAGAATTTGAGAACTCCTGGGAAGAAGAACAGACAATCAAAGAGCAATTTCCAGATTTTCAACTTGTGGGCAAGTTGGATGTGCAGGAGGGGAGTATTGATAGAGACACGTGTGCAGCTATCAAGAAGGATAGATACTATGGTCAAGTTTACTCTAGAAGGAATAGATTAGCGGTTTGATAGTTATTTTCATTTAAATAATTGTAACTGCTTTTCATGGGGGGGGGGGGGGGGGGGACTTTAAATAGAATAAGGAGAGTAACGGAAGGCAGGCAGTTAGATCTTCGGATAGGGACTGGGAGGAGTGGAGACGTGTTGTCTCTTTCCTTGGGACTGCGTACGTTGTTTTCCACGCTAGGAAAACTGTATTTGACGTTGGCTTTTACTCTATTATTGCTCTACTGTCACTGCACGGTCGTTTTCTTCCCCTGTGTACTCTATCAAATCATCACTCTCCTCTTTCTCTTAGAGTTCAGGGGATATTTACTTCATCAAGATAATGAACATCTTTTTGACCAATACAAAACAATAAACCTTCTCAGCTTTTCCATTTCTGCTCTTCTCTCCTCTTGGCTTTCTACCAAACAGTGTCACATCTGAACCTAAACCATACAAACAAAAACAACAACAAAAACAACAACAAAAACAACTACATCAACAACATCTAAATCTAAACATAAACCATGAACACAAAAAATCACGTGGTTCCAGAACAATAAACCTTCTAAAACATCTGAAAAGGTGCAAAACTATCATTTATTCTCAAATCTAGTTCACTTATTCTTGTATAGCTGCTTCTTGATCAATTTGCGTAAGCCACAGAACACGAATACAGCATCACAACTGCTAAACACATCCCAACTGGACTATAAAAGTATCATTAGTATGATCAGGAGAGGTCTAACTTTGTTCTCTCTTGACCTTTCCTTGTCCATGAGCAATTTAATAAAAATTTGCCTCACATGAAAACTAAGAACATATTCTGACATTCTGAGGAAGTAGGACAAAATTCTACCATCTAAACCTGAAATTCAAGTAAAATTCCATACAATTCAACCATCTAGACCTATAATTTAACACTTAAAGACTTCAGCTTGTTTAAAATTTAACCAATCAAAAGGACATGCTTTTAAAAGGTTGAAAATTAGATTAAAACGGAGTTTAAAATGGCTAATCCCTTGAACCTCGGATCTGTGCAGATTCACAGTTTAAAGGTTTACAAATTAAAATGTTGTAGACCTATATATGAAAATCAATATAATAAATCGAGTACCAAGATCAGTTTGTTTGGACATGTGATATGTCCATCAAAACATAAAGACCAGCATATGAAGTATGTAATGCCTAAAAACTATCATATACATTATACATAAGGATATGACATTGGTTGACAGTCTGACATACTATCATTTTAATTCAATTTTTTAAAACCTGATCAAAGTTTGCTTAGAATAGAACAAAGTTGGATTCGTACAATTTTAATTCAATTTTTTAAAACATGATCAAAGTTTGCTTAGAATAGAACAAAGTTGGACGAGATTTTCACTATGGGTCATCCGGAAACAGTCTCTCTGTGCTTTAGTGCAGGGGTAAGACTGCGTACGTCCGACTCCCCCTTACCCCACCGTAGGTGGGAGCCTTAGCGGCACTGGGGTAAATGAAAATGAAATAGTTCATCCACTATCTTATACTACGTACTCCGTATAAACTGAAATGAGTAAACAGTGAAGTTAGTTTTAACAATTGTAAATTTATCTTTCTTTTGGATGGATCATTCGCGAGTTAGATGTTAAATGGAACAAGTCATGCTAACTTCGATGCTAAGAGTTTGGTGTTGCTTTAATAGGAACATACATAGTGTTTGCTGAAGAATTGATTCCTTTCTTGGAACTTTTCTCGACAATATATCAATGCACATGTTTATAAAGGGTTCCCATTTTCTCATCAATCAGCATGAATTATATAATGTGGCTCAATGATTCCTTCTTCAAACTTTTGTCAACAATCAATGCCTATATTTTAAGAGGGTCCAGTGGTCAGTCGGCGGCGGCATTTCCATCACCCGTGAAAATGGACCTCACTGAATCGATCAGGAATCACACCCACGTTTCTTTCAAGCTAGCGAAGCACGTCTTCTCGACCCAAGTCAAAGGAGAATCCAACCTTGTTTTCTCTCCTCTCTCAGTCCACGTCGTCTTGGGCCTAATCGCCGCCGGCTCTAAAGGCCCGACGCTCCAACAGTTGCTCGCTTTCCTCAACTCCAACTCCACCGAAGATCTCAACGCGTTTTCATCTCATATCGTCACCGTCCTCTTCGCCGACGGAAGTTCCGTCGGTGGCCCTCTACTGTCGGCGGCAAATGGTGTGTGGATTGAGCGGAATCTTCGTGTGAAGGATTCCTTTAAGCAAGTCGTGGACACTGTTTACAAAGCTGTTTCTGAATCGGTTGATTTCCAGCGCAAGGTTTGGGTTTTAACCTTTCGAATTCAAATTTGATATCTCAGTGACTTCTATGGGGTTCTTATGTCTACAATAGAATAGAATGGTACCCATAGGATGAATTTTGAAATTTTTCCATTTGTTTTTTGAAATAATTGTGTTTGAATTATTTTATTGTTCTTTTAATCCTTCTGTCATATTTTACTTTTGAAAATATCAAGAATGTGAGATTGTAGGTCTTTGAAATTGTCATATTTTGCATTGAAAATGTGATGAAGATGAAATAGCTGTTTGCTATGGACTATTTTGCTGAAATAGATGAACCTGTGTTCATCATCATCACCATTACCCGGGTGCTAAAGCACAGAGAGACCGTTTCCGGATGATCCATAGTGAAAATCGCGTCGAAAATTGCATGGACCGACTGCTGCTTCATAACAAAGAAGCGCAGACAGTTTATTAAACCAATCTGGATGAAAAAGTGTTTTTTTACAATTTAACGTGTATTTCTGTCAAATCAAAGCTAACTGTTTTGCTTATTCCCTGGGTTAGGCAGAATAAGTTCAACAGATCTAGAACCAAAAAACGACACTTATATATATGGCCTCTAATTGATTTGGCAGGCAATAGAAGTGACTGATCAAGTGAATTCCTGGGTTGCGAAGGAAACAGGTGGTCTTATCAAAGAGATACTCCCTGCCCGTGCAGTTGACAATAGAACACGGCTCATTTTAGCGAATGCGTTGTACTTTAAAGGAGCGTGGGCAGAAAAATTCAATGCATCAGAGACAAAGGACCGGGAGTTCCACCTCCTTAGTGGCAACTCCATACAAGTCCCCTTCATGAGCAGTAAGAAGAAACAGTACGTGAAAGCCTGTGATGGTTTCAAAGTTTTGGGACTTCCCTACGAACAAGGCGAGGATAAGCGTCGCCGTTTCTCCATGTACTTCTTCTTGCCGGATGCCAAGGACGGGCTCCCATCCCTGATGGGTAAGATCACATCTGAAGCCGAGCTTTTAGAGCAGAACCTCCCCAAACGTCAAGTTGAAGTGGGGAGGTTTTGTATCCCGAAGTTCAAAATATCTTTCGGCTTTGAAACATCAAACACTCTGAAGGAGCTTGGGGTGGTGTTGCCTTTTGCTGGAGGGGGGCTCACTGAAATGGTGCACTCCTCTGGCGCGCGAGGTGATCTGTACGTTTCAAAAATCTTCCATAAGTCTTTTATTTAGGTTAATGAGGAAGGCACAGAAGCTGCAGCGGCTACGGCAGCTATTGTGAACGTCCGGGGTTTCTCCATGGAAGACAAAGTGGATTTTGTGGCTGACCATCCCTTTCTCTTTATTATCCGGGAGGATTTGACCGGAGCCGTTGTCTTCATCGGGACTGTGGCTAATCCTCTTTCTGATTAATTAGCCAACCTACGTATACTTCATGTATATATGATGGATTGATGGGATGTATATATTATGGTTATATGTTTCTGTAATGATTTAACAGTACATACTAAGGTCATAATAAGTCATAAAAGACTGATAAAATCTGGATTCTCCTTCAACAGTGCAGCGTATAGTTTGAGTCGATGAAAGATATCATCAATTTTAAAGCTATCTTCCTCCTAAAATGTTTCATCGATCACGTGCCATCCATACGTGTACTGATAATATCATCCATTCTAATGCTATCTTCCCCGTGGATCCGGCTCCTCTGCTTTGCTTTAGCGGGCAAGGAGGGTGCCTGGCCATTGTGAGCCTTTAACCAGAAAATCAATGACATAGAATTAGGGATGGATTCGGTTCGGGCCACCCGGCCCGTGACCCGGCCCGGCCCGGTACTGTGCGGGCCCGGGACCGGCCCGGTCAGGCGGTCCGGGACCGGGTATGGGCCCGAACCGGGGGGAAGGGGTGGGGCGGGCTCGGTTCATCATTTTTGTGACCCGGCCCGGCCGGGTCGGGCCCGGGCCCGGGTCTATTTTTTTTTAAAAAAAACTTTTTTTTTTGATTTTTGGCTACTAGCCGTTGAGGCCTTGGGGGTGGGGCTGGGGACAACCCAAACGGCTATATAGCCGTTGGGTGGGGTAAAGGGGGGGGGGGGTCCGGGGGGGTTGGCTGGTAGGGGGTGGGGGTGGGGGGTAAAAATACCTATAAATTCTCCTACTCTTAAACATTTTTTCATATCTCTTCTCCAATTCTTCCTAAATCCTATTCTTAACTCTCTACTCTCTAATTCTCTTATTCTCCAATATATTATATATCTACTCTCTAATTCTCTTCTCCAAGAAGTTAAGATGGAAAATCAAAACGTCATTATACGGTATAATTTTGATAAGCAGAAGGACCCGAAGACCGGGATGTGGTACGCAATTTGTAAATGGTGCGAAAAAAAATGTATTATGGGGGCTTCAGGCGGATTCGGGATGGCAATCAAGCATATGAAGTCATGTGACAAAGCCAAAGGATCGGGAGGTGCGGGAAGTTCCGATTGATTACAATTTTCAAAATGTTTATCTCTTAAAGTTTGTATTAATTTTCAAATGTAGTTCCTATTTCATTTCAAATAAATGCAATTGAAGTTTGTTTTTAATACTCGTATAAAACTATAAACTATAAAATATAAAATATAAATTATAAAAAAAAAAATTAACCGACCCGGCCCGAACCGGACCCGACCCGTGACCCGGGCGGGTGGCCCGGCCCGAACCGGACCCGTCCAACCCTCGGGCCGGTCCCGGGCCCACTGTTCTTGAACCGGCGGCCTGACCGGGCCTAGGCCCGGCCCGGACCAGACCCGGCCCGAATCCATCACTACATAGAATGTGTGGGTCCATTTTTGTACCAATCTCAAGACCCTAAATTTTAATCTTGGCCCTTAAATTGAGTAAGGCACTGCCATAAGGAAGAGGATCCCAATCCCTTTCCCCTAAACTCATTTATGATGCTATCTTCCTCCTAAGTATCGCATCTATCACCTCTCATCCTATAATTAACGTACATAGAACAAAATAAAGTGACAAACCATATTGATCGAGAGGCAGGATCGTCTTCGAACACAATTATAGTTACTAAAAGATAAAAGGTTAAATTTTTGTCCATCATTTTTTCAGGAATAATATTAGGGATTTTTTTTCCCATTTTTTATTGATGCGCAAAATCATAATTCAAGTATGATTAAAATTAAAATGCGAAAAGTTGTATCAACTATGTGGTTGTAAGAGCATGTCCAATATAAGGATGTGCATTTGTGCACACGTGACATGAGATATATAGAAACATAAAATTAAATTCATTAATTTTTCTGTCTTTGTTTACGTTATCATATATATTTTGAGTTACTCTTATCAATAATGTCAACCACAATCTCTATATATAGTAGATCTTGTGTTTGATATTCTGAAGAAAAAGCTTAGCAAAAATACAAAAAAAAACTACAGTATAAAATAAGAAGAGAGATAGATTACTGACTAAATTTTTATATATTTATTTCTATCATATTGCATTTGTATTATTCATATTTTTGCATTTGAGATGTTCTAAAGGTGAATAAGGTCATAGTATGAGAGAGACATATGCCATTTTGGGCTGGACATGGAAATGGAATCAGGACACGCCTAATATGTTCAACTTAAATGGGCTGTACCGTTGTTTGGGTATTCTCTCTATAGGCCGACAATGTGAAAGCTTGAAGTACAGGCCCACCTATCTCCTTAATCTACGGAAGAAGAAGAGCCTAAAGAGTACGCGGCAAATGTTCATTGGTCGAAACAGGTTTAGACACGCCCTGATTGGTCAGTTTTGCGCAAGAGGACGTTGCAAAAAAGTGAAGCCCGCGTCGTTGACGTCCAACGTCCGCCAGCCAAGTATACTCTCCCGGGAGAATACAACATTCATTCGCCGGAGAGGAGATTAAATCCAAGAATACGAATTGATCGCCATTGGCGCTCATTCTCCATTCTTCGCAGATCCATTTCCGAACCCTAGATTTTGCTGTGTAAATAGACATTCGAAGTGTCGGGTTTTGATCTCTGTGCCAGCAGAAATGGCGCATCGAGGATCAAAATTGCTGATCTTGTTATCACTCCTGTCTTACTCTCTGATTGTTATAGCAGCGTAAGTGCTTTCTTCATATCTAGCTGTCGTGTATTGAACAATCGATTGTTAGGTGGGTAGTAAGTGATTTCGTCCATTTCAGTAAGAGTTATTACGACATCCTGCAAATCCCAAAAGGTGCTTCGGAGGAGCAGATCAAACGAGCGTATCGAAAGCTGGCACTGAAGTACCATCCGGATAAAAACCAAGGAAATGATGATGCGAATAAGAAGTTTGCGGAAATAAGCAATGGTATGGGGTAAAGTTCAAAACGAGCTGTTAGTTATTGATCTGTTGGATTTTTCTGAGTCTTGGAATTTGTGTGTTTCATTGTCAGCTTATGAAGTACTTTCAGATAGTGAAAAGAAGAACATTTACGATAGGTATGGGGAAGAGGGCCTTAAACAGCATGCTGCTAGTGGAGGAGGCCGAGGATCCGGAATGAACATTCAAGACATATTTAGCTCGTAAGTTGAATATTCATTATTAGTTCACACTTGATTTTTTCAAGGAATTCTATTTTTTATTATTCTAAGTTCAAACTCTTCTTTTAGTTCTCAATGTCATGCCATTTTGTGCACTAGATGTTCCAGTAGTTAAGAAAACGAACGGGGTTAGACTAAGCTGTACAGTAGGTGTGTCTAAGGTGGGACAAGATACCACACCTTTATAGCACAATTTTTTTAACGAAAAATGTTTATGGTGGGTGTCATCAAGGTAAAGATAATGGTGCAAAATGAGGTTGTTTAAGCTGATTCGACTTACCTTTCCTGATCAATATTAGCTTAGTGTTGCACCTCTGTGCTGTCTTACCATGCTAAATTAGTTCTTTCTTGTACTTCTCAAGACCAAGTTATCTCCATATGACTTTTGATATTCTTTCACTCTCATTGCCATGAAATTCCACAATTTTCACTGAAAACTCGATATCAGCAGAGCCATATGGCCACATATGCCATTGTCTTATTAAACCAATCCATTATATAAATTTATAATTTTTATATGTACTTGTACATCTTTAGTGCTTACTACAATCAATGTAACTCAAGCTAAAATAGATACTTGGAAACTATGTTATTTACTCACTACTCGGTTGCAACTCGGTCAAGGGCCGAGTAGCGAGTAGGACCGATTACTCGGGATTACTCGGTGATTAATCGGCCTTGTATTAATTAAATATAATAATATAGGTGCCTGAAATTATAGAAATATAGTAGTCTTGAATAGTCTTTAAATTGTCTTAAAATGCATAGAAGTGAATAAAAGGATAGAAATCCTATTATCTTTCATATACTTGAACTTTCCACTTTTCCAGATATCAATATAGAGAGCTACTATTTCATATTCTAACAACAAATGAATCCTAGCAGAGTAAATGAGCACATTTGTGTTTATTAAAAGTTTAAAACTACCAAAAAGCATTCCTCATAAAGCCACACAAAGCCCGTTAGACATTAGATTTAGTATGTAACATAAAACCAAAATTGAACAATGGAAAAGAGAGGAATGGATTGATATCTTAACTTTCTTAAGAAATACAATTAATGAAAACCCTTAAAACCCTAAATGCAGAGCAATATTCAATGCACTAAAAAATACCACTTCAATCTTGAAGGTGAGAAGAAGGAAGAAAATAATGAAAAATAATGCCCAAACTCCAAAGAACTTACCGTTGATGTCACTGTAGCAGTCGCAGCTGGTAGCGATTGCCGGTTGGAGCTCCAAAAGATGTAGCCGCAGTTCCTCCCAGTAGTCGAAGCTCCTCCCAGTAGTCGCAGCTCAAAAAAAGGACCGTCTAAGTTTTTAGGTTTTGGTTTGCGCAGGTTTTTTTAATATACCGAGTAATAGCGAGTAACTCGCCAATTTGACCAACTCACCGAGTTGACTAACTCGCCGAGTACTCGGCGAGTAACTCGGAAAATCAACTCGGGACGAGTTAAGGTGCTACTCTGCAAGGTAAGAGGCCGAGTAGAGAGTACTCGCCGAGTACTCGCCGAGTAGATAACCCAGCTTGGAAACATTAATTTCTATTTCAGGCCTTTTAGAATCAAACCCATATGTGCATCTTTGGTTTAGATCTTGTTTTTAATTCATACTAAGTCATATTTGAGGGGGGAATTAACCTATGTTTTTACATTTCACTTCTCCATTTCCAAATATTTGTTGTTTTATATTTTTGCTTATATGATAATTAAGAACTAAGTTTAAGAAAAAACATGTTATCAACAGTATACCCTTAATTTAAGTTTTAAATGTATACAAAGTACTGTGGGAAATTTTTGTTATTAGAAGGAAAGGTGTGACAATAAGCAAATAATGCTTTCTTGATGTTTGGAAGTGATAGTTATTTGTGAATACATTATTCCTTTTATTTAAATGTTAAAGCACCATTTATTTGAGACTGTAGGGATTACATTTTTTATGGTAGGCAATTAGTAATGTTGTTGGACTGTGGCTCACAATTGGTTTTGCTATCATCTCTCCAATTATTGATAAAAATTATATAATCCAAGCGGAACCTTGAAACAAGTAATTCGTAACACATAAAAGAAGCCTTATAAATCCATGTGGCTGGGTTTTTTGTGCAACTTATACTATACTGGCCATTGTATTTTTCTACGGTTCTACCCTCAAATTTTGTAGTCAGGTCAAACACTAGG